ACCAGAGCCTGTCTGTATAATGTCTTGTGACGTCCACGGCCTACCCCAGTTACCACTACTGTGCATGTGTGTCAACGACAGAAAGGTAGATGTGGCAGTGGAAGCTGTCAAAGCAGTTTGGAGAGAATAAAGTAAAAAAAAAGAAGATTTGATTATTAAATTAGTCATCAATTATTTTAATAATTGATTAGTTGATGATTAATTGATTTATCGTTGCAGCCCTAATGGTGATATTGATTTTAGGCCATATCGCCCACCCGGCACTCTCAGACACATGGCTTAATGATGAAAGTATAAATAATGTGAATATTGAGGGGTATGAACTTAATCATATTAACAGAAACAATAAAAGAGGTGGAGTAGTAGCTTTACTTATAAGTAAGGAAATAAATTGTAAAATAATTAATAAAAAGTCAGTAATGTTAGATAATATTTTGGTAATGACTACAATTGAAATATTAAATAAAAATTCAAAAAAATATAATAAGTTGTGTATATCAATCACCAGATTCAAATACAAAGATTTTCACCAATCAATCAAATCAATCTGCACCGAAGTGGTTTCACAGGACCTATGAAAGGGTTTTTTATGAGATATGAATTTATTTTTTTTAAGAGCTATGAAAGTTTTATTTATTTATTTATTTTAGGAGCTATGAAAGTTTTATTTATTTATTTATTTTAGGAGCTATGAAAGTTTTATTTATTTATTTATTTTAGGAGCTATGAAAGTTTTATTTATTTTAGGAGCTATGAAAGGTGTGTGAGGATCGTTGAACCACGTGACGACACGTCGCCTGTCAGCGACCACACTGCCTGCTACTCTTTGGTTGTGTATTTGCTGTGGGGGTCGGACCGCAGCGGAGCTGCATGTAAAGAAACCTACAAAACAACCAGCGACTACACCAGGTTAGTTTAGATATGATAAACAACATTATTAGTATCCGTACTGACATTTATTCGCTCATGGTTTGAGGTTCTTCGATATTAGCTTCTTATTACTCAAATCACAATAATGAGTATTGTTGTGTCCATTTGACGACAAGTAGCAGTAAACTGTACAAATAAAATAAAATAAAATAAAATAAAAACTTACATACTGACAGCGGTACCTCCACGCTGCCCTCATGTTTCCAGTGGACTGAAAGGCCGAACAGTGCGCGTGTCTGTATTTATAAACTAACCGCCGCTAAGCATTGTGGGAAACCAACTCTACCAAAGATCGTCGCACGAACAGATGTAACACTCATACATGTCAAGTTGTACAGATTGTCCGTAAATCACAAGGATTTTACGTCATTTTGCCGGACGTACACAGCAATCTTACGGATTTTTTTTAAAAGTCTTACAGATTTTTTCAAAACCTCATTTTTAATTTTATCTGACATGTCTCAGCCTTATTTAAAAAACAATAAATAACACCAAATAACCATCTTACAACCTATTCTCATTGGAAATAAGTTCTTCCGCTCTCCTTCCCTCCTGCTCTGCAGCAGGAGTTGTCATGTCTGCAGCCAAACGATTCAAATATAAGACTTTAAATCGCCCGTCTGGGTAAAAAGTCTAGTAAATTTCGCCGCTTTCTGCCTCATTCCGCCGTAAAATGCCCCCCCCACCCTGAGAATGAACTGGCCACCC